TGACAATAGGGCCGTAACATCTTGTTTCACCACCACCATTGACAATAGGGCCGTAACATCTTGTTTCACCACCACCACTGACAATAGGGCCGTAACATCTTGTTTCACCACCACTATTGACAATAGGGCCGTAACATCTTGTTTCACCACCACCATTGACAATAGGGCCGTACCATCTTGTTTCACCACCACCATTGACAATAGGGCCGCAACATCTTGTTTCAACACCACTATTGACAATGGGGCCGTAACGTTTTGTTTCAGTAAAATGTTTTACCACCATCATTAAATATTGAGTACAGTAAAAAAAACTATAAGGTACAAAACGTATTTTCAACAGATTCATCGTCACTCTTTGACAAACAGACTTTAAATGTGATGTTATAACCGATTGTAGAATGTGGCGTCATGTTTTCCTCGTTTTCACGTCACTATCACCGCTCTGGTCGCCGGTACTGTGAGGGGTTAACATAAGATGGGGGGGGGGGGGGGGGGGGGGAAACGAGGAATGAAACATAAAAAAATTGTGAATATTGTCTGCCTTTACAAAAAAAATCCAGTCGGAATGGCGGAAGTTATGATTCTTTGAGACTAATGTGACGACGCAATCATTGTCCATCTACGGTGACGCGAAATGAACACGTTAAAACGCATTTTAAATAAATATATCAAGAAGACAAATCAAATCTTGAAATATCGCATTGAACTTTGGACGAGAAACAATCCCTGCATCTACGACACCGAGAGCTCCGAAACCTCGAGCCACACAAAGCATCCGGACCAGATAACATCTCGCCACGTGTATTAAGGGAAAACACACGCAAGCACTGCCCCACTGCTCCACCTACTACTTCGGAAATCCCTAGCAACAGGTGTGATACCGGGAGACTATTCGCACTGCTAATGTAACCCCCACCTTCAATAAGGGACATACGTACGATGCATCAAATTACAGGCCAATTTCCCTCACCTCTGTCTGCTGTAAAATTATGGAGCCCAATCAATTACCTCTACCATCATGACTCACGGAGAAGGAAACATCTTGAAACACCTATGATAGACAATTAACATGGCTTCAGAAAGGGTAGATCATGTGAGACCCAACTCGTTGACTTTGTGGATGACACCACCAACAATCTTTGAGCAGGCCAGCAGACTGACATACTCAGCATGGACTTTGCGAAAGCCTTCGACAAGGTCAACCACAGTCTCCTCATCCACAAATTCAGTAAACACGGGATACGCGGGAAAATCAATTCCTGGATGGAGAACTGGCTGTCTGGAAGAACACAAACTGTCGTCGGGGAAGGTGAGAGCTCGACCTCGGTGGATGTGGACTCCAATGTCCCCCGTGGCTCAGTTCTAGGACCGAGTCTCTTCATCTATTACATCAACGACCTGCATGAATCATTGAAGTCCATCATCAGACTCCTCGCTGATGACACCATAGCCTATCTTACCATTACATCAGGGCAGTGGTAAGACCATACAGGAGGACCTCGATAAGCTTACAAATGGGAACGGTTACGGTGCATGAAATTCCATCCTAACAAGTGTAACATCCTTAGACTCACCAACAGGAGAAACCCAATCAAGACAAAATATCACCTACAGACCCCTACCTAGGTGCCACCATATCCAACAACCTTAAATGGGATACCAACATAAAGAAGATAACAGGAAAGGCGAACAGAACCCTAGGCTTTCTACGGAGAAATCTGAAGATTACATCCACCCAGATCAAGACGCTAGCATACCACGGCCTGGTCAGACCTTGCTGGAATATGCATCCTCCGTATGGGACCCGTCGTACACCAAGCACAGCATCAATAGCATTGAACACATCCAGAGAGGAGCTGCAAGGTACGTCACGAACCGCTATCGGAACACGTCCAGCGTCTCTACCACTACAAGAAAGGAGGAAGGAAGCTAGACTAGTGATACTATGCAAGATAGTGACAAAAGGTATGGTCGCCATCAGTAAAGAAAACAGACTGCTACCACCAAGACGACTTGCCAAAAACAGGACTAATTCAAGAAAGATGTCTTTCTTCCCCAAAGGTGTAGAACGCACTACCACCAGACATCACAGATGCAGCCACACTCTCGGCCTTTAAGGCCAAAGTGACGAAGCTCTGAGACGCTGAAGCTTCTTCTATCCAGTTTTTAACCTACAAACGTATTTTAACTGTGCCAGTCATGTCATTTGTGAAATCGAAACACATTGAAGAAACATCAACTTGTTGATGGAGGTAATCACTGGAAGAATACGAGGAAGAAGAAGAAAAACGTTTAACTCTTTGATTTGAATGGACGGCATGAATGATGGACACAGATAGACACCAGTTTATGACATATTGAAACAATAAGGCATGTATTGTTACAGATTAGTAAGACTACAAAAAATCAGACGATTTTCATATTTTCAAATATATTTCAAATAACTACACTTGAGGCAAAAAGAAGATGTAAATCAAGTCCTACAAATAATAGCAACCTGTCCCTGGTATCAACGGTCACCTACGGGGGACAAAGCTAGGTGTCCGGCATAACAAAAGTCCACGCGGCAGTGACGGTGACGTCAAAACGGAGAAAATATGACGCCACGTTCTACAATCAGTTACAGCAACTAATAAATCTCACCACAACAACGGCATGTATTTTAAGAATTCCCAAGAGGTCGACATCTCAAGGCAATCAATGCCCAACGTCCTATTTTACATCGCTACCAAATATGAAATGATATAGTTTTTTTGCCAAAAGAGAGATAATTAATATATATACACCCGCCGCGCCCTGTATAAACTATAGTAGGTTCTCCCTCCAGGTCGGGTCGGGTCGGGTCGGGTCGGGTCGGGTCGGAATGACATGACCTCAACACATGAAGACTTTTTTGGTGTTTCTTTCATGTCCTGGTGTTATGTAACCTCAATTTGACATTTAACCTTGACCATAAGTACTAAAAAATTGGTTTCCGGAACATATCTCATCCACTGTTTAGGTACAACTTGGGAAAGAGATGTGTCACACCCTAAGACAAATTCGCTGTGACCTTGAGCTGACTGCATGATACTTGATCGAACTGCTAAATTAATGGTTTCTGCAGCATATTTTGATTAGGTTGCCTTACAAGCGTCAGCTGTAGGGAACTTTCCCTTAGCTCAGCGGTAGAGGTTCGGGATGGAGAGCCATATGGATCACTGTTTCGAGCCCCCAGCGACGGCACTATTTTTATCACTATTCCTCGTCCTACTACAAACTGGTGCCGTTGACCCTCCCCGTTCAAGGTAGGAGCTAGAACCCTTTGCGGGGGTCAAATAACCTGGGTTGGTGTTTGAAAAAAGGGGAGAATAGTGTAATTTTTAAGACTATATGCATTTTGATTAGGTTGTCTTACAAGCGTCAGCTGTAGGAATTTCCCCTTTAGCTCAGCGTTTGAGCGATCGATCGGGCTGGATCGAGAGTCAAATTAAGGGTTGGGGGTTCGAGCTCCAGCGACGGCACTATCTTTATCACTAATCCTCGTCCTACTACAGGACTAAGTTGTATATCTACTAGGTTTAGAGTGAAAACAAATAATGCTTCGTGTGAAGATGTGTGAGGCGGGTTGGTGTTTGTTCAAGGAGGGAACCCACGATACCTTAAATATCGCGCCTTCCCTATAAATTTCTATGGGAATGATCCAAAAAAAGAACAAGGACATAAGTTGAAAGTGGGTCAAGGTAATTTATTTGAACGAACTTGGTAGTCCTTCATCCGTGCATGCTACAGGCCCAATTTCAATACCCTGGGCCTTTTGGTTATTGAGGAGAAGTGGTTTTAAGATTTTACGACATTTGATCACTGTGACCTTGAAAGTGGGTCAAGGTCATTCATTTGAACAAACTTGGTAGTCCTTCATTTCAGCATGTTACATGCCCAATACCAGTACCCTGGGCCTTTTAGTTATTGAGAAGAAGTAGTTTGAAGATTTTTATGACATTTTACCCCTGTGACCTTGAAAGTGGGTCAAGGTCATGCATTTGGACAAACTTGGCAGTCCTTCATCCCAGCATTTGACAGGCCCAATATCAGTACCCTTGGCCATTTCGTTATTGAAAGAAGTCGTTTGAGGATTTTAAGACATCTGACCCAAGTGACCTTGAAAGTGGGCCAAGGTCATTCATTTTAACAAACTAGGTATCCCTTCTTCCCAGCATGTTACAGGCCTAATATCAGTACCCAGAATCTTTTGTTTATTGAGAAGAAGTCGTTTGAAGATTTTAACATATTTGACCCATGTGACCTTGAAAGTGGGTCAATGTCATTCATTTTAACAAACTAGGTAGCCCTTCATCCCAGCATGCTACAGGCCCAATAGCAGTACTCTGTGCCATTTGGTTATGAGAAGAAGTTGTTTGAAGATGTTAACATATTTGACCCATGAGACCTTGAAAGCCCTTCATCCATGCATGCTACAGGCCCCAATAGCAGTACTCTTGGCCTTTTGATTATTGAGAAGAAGTTGTTTGAAGATTTTAAGACAATTGACCCTTGTGGCCATGAAAGTGGGTCAAGGTCAATCATTTGAACAAAAATTGGTAGCCCTTCATTCCAGCATGCTACTGGCCAAATATCACCAGCCTGTGCCTCTTGGTTATTCAGAAGAAGTTGTTTAACGTAAAAAGTTGACGCCGGACGGACGACGGCCGGACGACAGACGGCCGGACGACGGACGCTGCACCTTGCCATAAGGGACAGATGAGCTAAAAAATGTGGAACGCAAAAGTAACATATATTCAAATTTGAACCTATAAATATGACGCATTTTAACCTTAACCTATCTTCCTAAGATAGGTACACTATTGAACTATCTTCAATTAAGTGTACCTTTCGTCAATTTTATCACGGAATTAGATGTTATCTAATATAATAGGTTAGGGACGTATATTTTATTAACCGATATAAAACATTCGGGAACCCTCGGTTCTTTCTCTGAACGACGATGTTTACCGATAGTAGATTAGATTTTTAATTTTTGACCAATCAAAACAAGCTTGTGCCTTCGACCCCGAGATGACGTTGGCGGGATTTCCGATTGGAGCGAAAAACAACAACATCTCCATACAGGCGATATTTAGAGAAAAATTGAGTTTTTGAAAAGAAAACAAAGACTTTCATTCAATAAGAATGATTGCTTAATTATCTTTATGCTGTATAACTAAAATGTAACTTGACATTAACGTTACACGCAGTTTTCCACAAAAGAGAAGGGTGGAACTACTACAGTAGGCCCTGGCATCGGAGATTGCGTAAGTCGGGTTTTCTGTAATTTTTATCTCTATTCCTCGTCGTCCTCCTACATAAAAAATCGCTCATGGAAAATGTGACTTTATTTTTTTGAGGATTTCCCAACTTACACCAAAACTATCTGAAACGTATCGTGATACTTTCATGATTATCTATGAAGCAGAATTTTTTATTTTGCAAAAAATATGAATGGTATGTATCGGGTCGGGGAAAACCACTAACTTACGTATATATACGCAAACTCGCCAATTATACGCCAATAGGGATATGGATTTGTTACTAAAAATAGCCAAAATAACTTGAAATTTAACTTTTTCAAATTTGTTGTCCAAGTCGCGATTATTTAGTCATGAAACATCATACAAATTGCAAAAATAAACTTTATTTTCATGTGGGAAAGTACCAAAAATAGATGCAATACTTCGGTAAAGTTACATCAAGTTTCTAAGTAGCCAACGCTTTCAGTAAACATCTTTTAGCAAAATATTATTAACCTTCTCGTAAATTAATGCGATTTTTAATAATATCTTAAGTTCAGCAATTTGGGCTATTTTTAGTAACAAATCCATACTCCAACTGGCGTATAATAGGGGAGTTTGCAAATTATATGCAAGTTGTGGTTTTCCCCAACCTGATGTATTCCCAATCAAGATTCATAGTCTTTGAATAGTTGTGGAAATCAGTTTCGTGAGTGATGTGTAACGGGAAAGAGAATAGTGTGCTTCCCCCTGGGATCGAACCTTCGCTCTCCTGTTTGGTTCCAGGTTCCACCTACGATGGGACAAACATATTAACAACATCACAGCCAATGCCAATAGGTCCCTATTGGGATGTCCGAATACATTCCTTTTGTATCCTGATACATTCCAGTCATATTTTTCTTGGTATTGAAAATATGGATATGTATATAGGCACAGTAGTCTAGTGGTAAGACGCCGGGCTGGTGACCGAAGGGTTGCAGCTTCAAGTCATGGCACAGCTCTGTGTTGTATCTTTGAGCAAGTTACTTTACTCCGCTTGTTCCAGTCTACTCAGCTGTAAATGAGTGTGGTTGGGCAGTGCTAGAATTGTTGAATGCTAGCTGTTAGCGCCAAAATGGCAGCTCAAGCTGTATGCTCCGAGGGAGTTGAGAAAGATATTGGCTGGTTGCAAAGGCCCTATAACCACGGATAATAATTTGTGAACCGCTTTGAGACGACCTACGAACTAGGTTGTGATAAAGCGGAATATAAGAACCTCAAGTTATTATTATTATTATATATTTGGTTCTGATGTTGAGTTATAGTTAAAGTTGATTTACTATATATATGAAGTTTTTTATTCTAATTACCAATTTTTGTTGTCTTGGATAATAATAGCATATATGTATGATGAAACTGGTATTCATTTATATAGCACTTTTGGTTTCTTGAATTTTTCAGGAAAGAGGGAAAAACCCTTAGGAGTTGCACAATAGGAAAATTGTCAAGATGGCAATGCAAGAACGGAGACAAGTAGAACAGGTTGTGGAAGAGGACGAGACATTTGGACCACTTCCCCTCAGCCGGCTCGAGGTTAGGCACCTACACATATAACTGTGGTTTTGCTTTCAGTTCTTATAAAATTAGGGTAGACTAGCAACATTTCCTATTTTTACTAGGTGATGTAAATGTACATGTAGCATTAAGACTTTCACAGTGCTAATTAAAAGAGAGTGAAGTGAAGACCATGGTAAATATAATTTCTGTGTACCCTGGTCTTCATTTCACTCACTTTCTGAAGTAATCGCAAACACAATTTCTTTCTGCTTTAACAATAGTTATCAGTTAACAGTACAATGATCATTTCTTCTACATATGTACATGATAGTATACTTTTCTAACTGTATATTTCTTTCTGCTTTTTGGCTTACATCAAACATGATATACAGTAGGTTCTTAGGTTTTCTTAAAAAGGACATGTATGATTAGACCTTCAGTGTTATCAAAAATGTTATTTCTAATATTATATATTTTTATATCTGTTGTATTTTTTCTACAGGCAAATGGTATCAGTGCAACAGATGTAAAGAAAATGGAAGATGCAGGTTATTTCACAGTGGAGTCTGTGGCATATACCCCCAAGAAAAACATTCTGACCATCAAAGGAATCAGTGAAGCTAAGGCTGACAAAATCTTGGTGAGGAGAGAAGAGTGTTGAAATAATTAAAAATGCAGTAACACATGTATATATATTTCTTCACAGCGAGGGATTGTGTACATACCCGACTAAATTAAACTTTCTCAAGTATATACATCTTTTTCCAAAGACTGGATGAATGAAATAAATGATATATAGAATGTAAAACTAAGTCACAGAACACATTTCATCATGCAAATACACATTTTTTCATGTAAATTGATTTTGTTAGGTAGTATAATATAAATTCCCAGGTAAATGGGGCAGTTGGGGTGGGACTCGGTTGCCTTTTATTGTTGTATTATCCCCACCACCCACAAAAGCTTTTTTTGTTGCACACATTTAACAATTCCTGACACCTCAATATCCCCCACCCCTCTCCCTTTATACTTCTGTATTAGAAAAAGCACAATATTATTATTAAAAAAATCAATATCGATTGCAGAAATCAGACATTTATTTAGTGTAATTATAAATGTGTCCATTGTAAGACTACAGATTTAATAATGATTAGCAAAATTGTGATTTCAATTGAACCTTTGTTTTATAAAGTAGTCTGGAAATAAGTTTGTTCCTTATCTATACTTTCAGGCCGAAGCTGCTAAACTAGTTCCTATGGGGTTTACTACAGCAACAGAATTCCACCAGAAGAGATCAGAAATAATCCAAGTTTCCACTGGGTCAAAGGAGCTTGACAAACTCTTACAAGGTAATGAATAAGACAAAGTAAATGACACTGATACCAAACTTTAAAAAATGAAACTTTTCTAGGCTTGATGAACCACTACATTACAGAGGGGGGGAAAAGTTGGAAAATCCGAAAATGCTGCTTCTAAAAAAGACAAATATGCAGACAAAAAAATCTATAAAGATTTTGCAGAATAAGTTATAAATAAATGTAAAAATCCAGACTATTTCTAGTCCAGTCAGGATACAGTTGACTCGCAATTCAAAACATATCGTGGTTTTAATTCCACAATTTTATTACTTTTGATTCAGTTTTGATGCACTTGAAATAGAATGAGAAATGTAAGCTTCCAACACTTTAATTCTGACGTAACCCAAGATTTAAAGATCCTGACCTCACGTTTTAATTTTTTCGAAGTTTTGATGGCAACACAACATGTAAACTTTATTCCTCAAATGTTTCTCTACTTACCTTTGTAATATGCAAAGTGTTATGTCTTTAATGTCCTTTCTATCCAAAAAAATATCCTACATAAGAATTATCATCTTCCTCCATATAAAATAAGTATCATTTGGTTTCATCTGTCTCAATGACAAATTATTTACTGCATTAATTCACCTGAAAATCCTCTTCAAGCTCTAAATACACAGCATAAGACATTATGAGTGGCAAACGTGGAATCTGGATAATGTTGCAGATACTAGTTATCCTAACGATTCCAGTGTTTCTTCATTAAATGAACTTTTTCAAGTGTTTCTTCATTAAATAAACTTTTTTCAGTGTTTCTTCATTAAATTAACTTTTTATGTTATTTCTCCGTGGAAGAGATATATGATCTTGTTTCTTTTACATTGTAGGTGGGATAGAGACTGGCTCTATTACAGAAATATTTGGAGAGTTCAGGACAGGGAAAACACAGATCTGTCATACCTTAGCTGTCACTTGTCAGGTAAATAACAGATTTGTTACACCCTACCAATCACAGGTCATGCCTGTGCCATTTCAATACAGCAATTTTGGGAAGCCAAATTTTGTGTCCTGGTTACAGTCTCTCCGAAGATGCATATCCCTCTCAGGCTCTGGTAGCTATTATCATTAAAGTCTTGCTCTCCGAAAGTTGAGTGAGACTTTATAAACATGCCAGTGAATATAGTGTACAGGTAATCTGAAATCTGAAAAAAAATAAGAAGAAGATATAGAAACGAAATAGAACCAGTACATTTCATAAGGGTATCTGAATTAGAGGCTATATGTGGTGAAAGAATTTGACTGAACTACTGATTTCATCAGATAACTTGAATGTCAGATAGTCATTTTTAAATTTATGACGAACTATATATTATTCATGAATGTATAAGAGGTTGATTGTTATAAAACTCATTAACAACAAATATCAGAGATAATATTTATGCAAGGGAGTTGAATGGTACCAGTACTGAGTGTGATTCTGTTAATGTTGAGATTCCTATCAATTTAAATATGACATGAAACTTTTTATTATTGTTATTTGTTAAGTTGTTATATCTCATATTTTTTATAGATTGAAAGACACCTATGGAGACAAAACAATACAAATTTAAGTGATAATAATATTCTGGAGACATCAATTTTGAGCTAATATGAAATTGACATTAACAAGGCATTAAATTTGCCCTCACAAAATGCTGCGGAGTATGCAAATAAATTTTGTATGTGTGGTGCTGATCATGAAATCACAAGGGACATTTGTTGCATTAAAAAAGACACAAAGAGGTGAAATGAAATCATAGAATTCAACAAATGAAGATATGTAATGATAACCATAGCTTCCAACTGATGATTACGTAAGATGTGATGGAAGCAAACGTTTTGTGTGGGACTCGCTCTCTTCAAAACCAGAGAGTCAAAGACTCTACAAAAAAATCTGAAATATATATATTCCACCCACATATGTTAAAATGAAATAACTTATGTTCTAGGTAATGTCTTTAACGACACATCTTATGTTCTAGGTTAATTGCAGCGTAAATTACCTAAATTTTAACTCTGTGGTGTAATTAAATTTGAAAAAAAACTAGTGTTAAGTTTCAGTGTTTCTGTTTCAGTAAAATCTTCGTGACTTCTCTGACTGATAATACAGTTGTATATATATATCCATAGATTGGCACTAAGCGTGGGGCGAGATGTGACTCTAGGGACTTACACAGTCAGCTGCTGTGTTTTGTTATTAAGCTTATCACCTGATTCTTGTTTAATATCTAGTAATAAGTTCATTTTGACTACACAGACTTAACCACTGGTACCACTTGGTAAAAATAAATATTAGAGTTCACATTGTCGTGTTAAGAAACAAGTTTACAACCATCTGCCAGGCCTAAATGTTAGATGGATTGTGCATATCTTAACAGAAAGACGAGATGTTTGTATTAAGTTAATACTCCAGGCACATGAAGGCACTCTATAGTTTTATACTGTACATATAAAAGATTTGGAGATACAATAAAAATGATACAGGTATAGTGTGAAGATAATATATATCTGACTCTGTCCTCAGTTACCCATTGATATGGGAGGAGGGGAAGGAAAGGCACTGTATGTAGACACAGAAGGAACATTTAGACCAGAACGTTTACTGGCTGTGGCAGAAAGGTATGTAAACACTGCTAACACTATAAGCATTGGACTTAAGGATCAGTGGGTTATTTTTTCTTGATTCCTGCATTAACAGAACTTTGTGAAATCAATGTTATTTTAGAAATGATATAAGTGATTAGAGTAGGTATGTTAAGTTTAATCACTGTATATTATAGTAGGTATGTAAGTTTAACCACTGTTTATTAGAGTAGGTATGTT